TTTCTTGTTCCTTGTTTGCGGAGGCAGTTCTGGTCTCACTTGTTCTTGTCTATAACAACAAATATGCAGATAACTCTGACTTTACAGCTCAACATCGCTCATGACCACATGTCACTGTCGGTTCAAATTCTCAAGATGTAATTTCTGGATGGGACCAGTTTTATCTGCATCAGGAAGAGTGGAATAAAGGAACGGCAGCCAGTTAGCACTGATAAGGATTAGAGAGAGAGAGAGAGAGAGAGAGAGAGAGTGCTCATGTCTGTGTTTCCCCCCCGAGTTTGCCTCTTTGCCTCAAACAATGAGTGATTGGCAATGCAATCACCAGTCTTCTTGCAAAAAAAAAAAAAAAAAATCTAGCTCCTTGTAAATGCAGAGCACAGTCAAAAGGAAAATCCATATTCATGCTGTTAATTTAAAGTGTCACTGACTTCAGACTCCAAGCAGACTTTCTGGACTCTCTCACCCAGGTGGAGCAACGTGGAGGAATCCAAATGTGTACAACGTTCCAACAGGCTTTAGGCTCCAAGGGATTTTCTCTGTAGTCGATGAAGAAAAATATCTTCAAAACAAATGGCATTTATCATATTTTATTTCACCGTCTACCTGACCAATGCAACTGTTTTCTTCCAGTATTAAAACTGGAAAAATATAGTCAGTATACATTTATGGTCACAACCTGCTTTTTTTGCCTCAATTAAGAGATGAAATCAAGTTTTGTCAGTTTTGGAAAAAAGAAATACAAATGGAGCTCGAAACACAACCTGTTGCAAAAATTCAATCATTTTAAATATATTTTTATTAGTTTGGTTAAGAATTTGATTTAAAACTGTCCGATTTTGAGTGAAGAAATAAAATGTAACACAGCTCAAAGGTTGACAAAAATAAATAAACTTTCTTTTACGGTTGTCTTAGGACTTTTTGACTCACCTTGTTTAATCGTGATTCCGACAGGGGTGCACTGTGCAATAATCAGTTGAAAAATGTTTAATATCCATGTCTATTGGCACAATAAACACAATAAACAATCAATCACAGCCAATAAACAGTGCTTTTCTTTTCCCCCCTTTTCTGGCAACCCTATTGGATCACTGTGTTTTGACCAGAGCCCACAGTAGAAGAACTAAACACACAGTTTGTTTTTTAATCATAACTGATGGGTGCCATATGTTCTCCAGCACGCCGGGAATAAAAATGTTTCACAACGTGCTGAAAAATCCTACACAGTACTTATAGATGAGTACAAACAAAACTGTTGTAAAACTAAAATAAATAAATAAAAAAGAATACATAATTATTAAATATTTTAACAAAGACAGATGACCTCACAGTGAGTCCCAAATACAAAATAAAAATAATGGTGTTTATCAAGGACAGACGTGTGAGGCACTAATCAAACATTTTAGTGGGCACACCTGCCAGTACTATCTCATCAGCCAATCACGTGGCTGATGAGCTCAGCTCAGTGCAGTGAGTCACTGAGACTGAGTAAGGATGAGCTGCCGGAGTTGAAGATAATCATCAGAACAGGTGAGTTAGGATGTCACACAGTGGTTGGTTCTACAGTGGACAGTTTGGTGTGACCATTTTTTATTCCTAAAATCAACCAAATTTTAATTTAAAGTTTAAAAATTGACCGAAAACAACCTATGAGTTTGGGTAAATGCAGCTGCTGGTGCAGCAATGATGTCATTTTTTAACCAGTGCTTAAATGCCTCTGCTAACCTTCTAATGCAAGGTGCTCAAACTCCTGGTTGAGGGGCCACCCCTGGCCCATAACCCCTTGTGCCAATGATCCAAACAGATATCAATAATGATTCAGTTTTGCTCTTGAGCTGCTTTTTTTAGTAAATTTCTCGTTACAATGCCTGACCTGATTAATTGAGAATAAGACAAAAAACAATTGAACTTGTTTAGACTGCTGTACTTTTCAATATTTATATTTATAGTGTGTTAAATATTTATATTTATAGTGTGTTAAAGTCAAAAAGTTCCAAGACAAATCTATATAGTGTTAGTGCGTTGAAGTCAAAAAGTTCCAAGACAAATCTTGATATACTTTATTTATAAAATGAATAAGGTTATTTCTCTACAGTTCTTCCATTTGTGTCTTAGCACTTTTCTGTAGCATCTGATTGCTGTCAGAGAGTTCCTTCTGTGTAGAATTCTGGGGGATGTTCTTTGTCTCATCTCAGGACTAAAATTTAAGTTCTTCTCAAAGTTTCTTCCAGTTTCGGCAAAAGAAAAAGAGTCAGATGGTGTTAGATGAAAGGATGTTGAAAAGACTCAGTATTTAACAGGTTTTACATTGAAGTGTTGATAAAAATCGTGAGAATTTGATCTGACTTTAAAACAGTTTATTTGATAGGATTTAAAAAAAACAGATCACATGAAACACAGCTCGGTGTTTGATAAAGATAAAACACCTCAAAGCGCCGTCAAAGCTGTTGATCAACCTGGGACCGCTTATGAAATGAAAACATCTGTTTTAGTACTTTTGAAATGAGACACGAACTGATTCAATTAGGACGCTGCTGAATCCACATCAACTCGGTGACGCATTCAGGTCACCCAGGACAAAAGTATAGATTTGCACTTTCATCGACAAACTGTAGGGGTCTAATACTCCATGGTTTACGTCACTTTTTAATCTAACGTGTGATGCCATGTACACTAATAGGCGGCAGGTATAAAAATAGTGACTGAAATGTGTGAATTGGTGTGAACAGAATTAATTAGACTGGAGGAAGAGTAATTATAAGGACTGAAAAAAAACCTTGGAAAACTTTAGCATGAAAATAAAAGTCCAGTCACTACCCGTAGGCTTGGACTCGTTTCCTATTTATTGACATGAAAATAAAAGTCCAGTCACTAGGCTTGGACTCGTTTCCTATTTATTGTCAGTTATAAATAGAGCCTGGAAACAGCAGACACAGAGACATCATGAGTCAGAGCCTGGTGAGGTGCGTTAGCTGCCGCACTGGTGGCTACGGTATGTATTTATAACTAACAAGACACAATGAAATTAACCTGTTCATTAGAGCGCTGTAATTAACGTCAACCTCCCTGTACTTTTTAAGTCTTAGACTATTAACATGACATTTCTGTTCTAATGTACAGTATGAGGACTATCAGCTGAGGTACACACTGCTGCAGAGTACAGTGTGTACTGTAAGGCTGAGATGTCAGGCTTAGTGCAGTACAATACAGTAGAGTTCAGTAAATGCACACATTCTTAATGACACCAAAGTGTCAAAAATCAAAATTCTTCGCAAATTGCTCTCTTGTGTTTATCGTGTTTGAAACTTTTAAATGATCGGCCTTTGTTTAAGTGGAACAAAAATATGGCCCCAGGACCAGTTTGAGGTTTAAAATGCGTTCCTACAGGACATACAGGTAGAGAGAGTACACAATACAAATGTCTTCTGTGACCACAAATGTAATGTTGTATAATAGTAATAAAGAATTTTATTTCCACCAACCAATCACGAGCTGTTATCCAGATTGACTTTAGGAAAGTGAACCTATCCCAGTTGTACTGTATCTGCTCCTACGTGAGGTTTTGCATTCACTCATGACAGTTTTCCATTCTTTTAGTGTTTCCACTTAGATGAAAAATCCTCTGACTTCAGTGGGGGTTTTTCTTGGAGAAGAAACTGACAGTTTGCCTTCCTTTCTTTCCCAGCCCGTACACAGACCCCCAGGATTTGCTCAGACGTGCGTTGGACAGGAAAACTGCACAGATATGATCCTGCAGCACCTGTTGGCTGATTGTTGCAACACAAACCAATCCTTTCTCGTTCACTGTGAATGCACTGTTATCTGGCCTCCAAGATGTTTTTGTGGAAACAGTACAGACGAGGGGTTGCATCAGGAAGGACATCTGCTGCATAAACGCTGCCAAATCACTATGCTAATGATCGCTCTGGTGACTCCTCAAATTAAAATGGATAGTAAGCAAAGTATGCCCCCAAATTATGGGTTGTGAAAATGAAAAAGTACTGAAACAGAAACATAGATTTCTCCAAGGTATTAATATATTTTTCTCCTGATTAAAATTGGCAGTTTTCTATTTCCAATTTATTAAGGTTAAACATTGACATGAAATATTTTATATTTTTATAAATATTATTTAATGTTATGATCCATAGTAAAATAATGTTTTTCAAATAATTAATTAAACCACCATTTCCTGTTGAAAAGATTCTTCTTCACCATTCAACCAAATCCTGAGATTCTGATACAGATGTAAACTTTCATCCCTGCACTGCCAGTAAAATCAGACTCGTCATTGAGCAGCATCTCATTACTGTGCTCATTACGGTTCACCTCAGTGTGCCTCATTGTCCACAAGAGGTCAGACATTAACAGCACAAGTCATAAATACTACACTGAACTCGCCTCTGCTTATACAAGGCCAGATTCGGTGCTTTTAATGTGACTCACTTTTATTGTGTCGTCAAAAACTCTGCGTGTCCTTGGAGAAAGAAACACACACACACACACACACACAGAGAGAGAGAGAGAGAGAGAGAGAGAGACTTATGCACCAAAATGAGGATGTCTGATGATTTAAAAATGGCTGCACTGCTATGCAGAAAAGAGGGGAAAAAAGATTTTCTCACTTTCTTCACCTTTACAGTACAGAGTAGCAGTACATCAGCTTTTACTTCACATACTGTAAATGAAGTGGAGTGTTATCTACCACACCAAAACTAGCGAACCTAGTTGTTACCCTTCCTGTGGCCTGATAAACATGCTGGCACAATGTTCGTTTTGTTGCTCACTAGTGTTTGTCAGGCTCTGTCTTAGCCTAAACCTGAGAGGAACTCTTTAATATTAGTGTTTGTGTGTGTGTATATATATATGTATATGTATATGTGTATATATATATATATGTGTGTGTGTACAAGTTACACGCATGGAAATCTGCCAAGTTACAGCAAAGGCTGTAAAAACAACAAAAATAAAATAAAAGACACAAGATTAAAAAAGTAATCTGTCTAAAAGCATTGATAAAAACATAGGACAATGAAACAGAGGCAGTAAAAATACAAACAGGTATAAATTAAATTAAAAAAAAACTAATAACAGACCACGAACACAGTTTAAATTACATCTCATGTTGAACTTTTCTTGCATCAATAACCATTGGTGGAACCCGCTAGAACCTGCGGATGTAAAAAGTTGTAGATTCCCTGCTGCATCAATGATGCTTTTCTCAGCCTCTTGACTGGGAAGTGCTCGTCACGCCCTCTTTGTTAAAGGAGGAAGGTGCATGTCGTCATCCGATCCCGTGTCTGGGTTCTAAATGCTCGGCCCCTGAGTGGAGCTGTGGAGTTTTCATTAGTGGCACAGCTCAGCACTTTACGCACAGCTATGGGAACCGCAGTGAGGAGTTGTAGAAGTCGGCCTTGTACTGAGGGTGTCATGGCAAAAGAATAACTTTTTCATTTTAGTCCGTCGGCACAGTCACAGTCGCGATTGTATCTATATATTTTTTTTTTTCTTTTATAAAAACTTTGGGAATATTCCAGCGCTCAAGGTCTAAGGCGCCGCTGTCCGTGGTTTGGATTTTCCAGGCAGTGATGGCCACTGCAAGACTCGATTATGTTCCTCCATGGTGGACATACTGGTTACACAATTTCCCACACTTCACTTTCTTACTCCAGTCGACGGACAACACTTTCAAACCGGAGGAGGCGAGTTATCAGCAGGTTGGTAACTGTGGCTGTGCGTAAAAGCGCACGTAGTTTCCGGAGAGTGTCGCGGGGAGAAGCGCGCGCCGCTGGTATCGCCCACTGGTTTTAGAGACTCAACGTCAAACGACGTGGTCAAATGTACAACTTTGTTTCAAACACACCGCTGTGCTCAGCGATGGAAGCGCTTTATCCCAGCTGTTTCCTAACTGCAAAGCATCAGTGCAGCGCCCCTAACGGCAGCAAGTGTTAGTGCGCCTGTCAGGGGTCAGATGCAATACTGTACTGGAGTTCTCACATGATGACACATGACCTGTATTAACTCGGCCTGTCCTGTTTTACAGCTGGTAAACAATTCCTTCACACGTGTGTGTATTCTTTGTAGATTTGGGGGAAACAACAGTTACTTTTAGATGCGATGTTCCACATTTTGAGCTCTAAATTTAAAATAATTTAAAAACAATCAAATAATTGTATATTGAACCAGGATAAAAGTAAAGACCAAGTATTTTATAAAATGTTCTCAGGGTAAAATAGTTTTTCACAAAGTAGTCGAGGACAAATTGTCCACTTAGTCAATATTTATAATTAAAGTTAATTAAATATTGATTCCTCCTCCTGAGTGAACGTTAAAGAAACATGTCGTTGACAGGTTTTGAAAATATTGATGTTCACAAACAGTGAAACATTTGTCAGATCTGGGTAAAAACATCCAAAGCAAATATATGTCCTCCTCAGAGTGTGTCTGTGCATCACGTTATCTATAGATCAATTACACCCAATCGTTATCCGGCTTTTGAGGAGTATAATGCTGTAATCGTTTCATATTGTTTTATCACCCAATAACGCTGGAATGTTGCCTTTATTTCATGCCATAAGTTGTGGAAGTTGCATTTATGTCTTTGAAAACAACAACAACAACAACGCTCCTGCCGCTAACGTTTGAGTTTTCTCATGCATGTGTGTGTATGCCTTTGTGTGTGTGTGTCCACATGCATAATGAAGTGGAACTGCGCCGTCCTTTTTCCCCAGGTCATGTCTGACTAAAGCTGTCTTCATGATTGACATCCCCGCTCTGATGGGCCTCACTTTTAAAGTACAGAAATCCATCAAATCCCAGCGGAATGTCACCGGCTCTTTAAGAAAGTTTGAGAAGATCATGTTCCCTGACAGATTTAGACCTGTGTGGTTCTGTCCTTAGATCCTCTGATGGCCCACTCTGCATAGCCCACTATGGACAAAGACAACTGATGTGGCCCACAAAGCTGCTTTGATGAAACTGACTTTTTACCCACGTAACCTTGTAGGGTTGACGTGTACAGTACCTGCTGTAGATGTCAGAGTGAAGGACCACTAACACTGAAACACTGTAAACAACTCATGTGTTTCATGGGATATGCTGATGTGCTGAGAGAAACAGAGGAGCTCAGGACTGCACCAAACACAGTGTCTCAGTTATTGAATTGGACTTGTACTGAGTCACAGGTCTGTAGACTGAGGTTTTAGGGAAAATGGAAGGTCAGTGACCTTACCAGTCAGATAACACTTTACACCGCTGTAGCTGTTTTCCCTTCTTTGCCCCCCCACCCCCCTCCCCCATGCAGTGGCCCGCTGGTATGCGGCTGCTGGAAATTGAAGTGGCTTCATGTCTAATTACGACACAGTGGAGTGGAAAATTAGAGGATGTTGATTAGAGTTGATCTCGCAGCATTCTGCTTATGAAAGGGTTTTAACTGGGCTGCAGTGACAGGAAATCTAAACAGGTGCTGATACGACCGTCCATGAGCAGCAGTTTTACTCCACACGTCAGACACACCGTACAAACCCCGAGATTAACGTGTTAAATCAGTGCTTATCACTGCAGTGCAACATCACTTCAGTAAAAATAAACGTGTGCTGCACCTTTTGAACTTTTTTTTTGTACTGCATTGATATCAGTGTGTATCTTCATCATCATTAGCTACCGTACACTCGTCGTCCTCCGTCAGGTCATTGAGGTCAGGGGTTTGGCCACAGTTGTTTACATGGCAGTGTGTCCCTGTGCACCGTGTGTCTCCTGGGGGGGGGGGGGGGGTCAGGGGGCTCCTTTAACTGCAAGTGAATGTAATAATTAGGTTTGTTGAAGTTAACACTGTGATAACACATTGACCAAATTACCTTTAACACCCTTTTTTCAGTGTGTGCACGTCCCCAGTGTAATTAAGCCTGGGCACGCCATATAGACTGGGGAATTAAAAGCATTAAGTGATGCATCCAAAAGTGTGAAGCGTAAAAATGAAACCAGGTTAAATAATCTTGTTAGTGGTCAAATTAGCTTCAACCCCCAACCACTGTTGAAGTTACACTTGGTATTCACAGTAGATGTGAATCGAGTTACCGCCGCAGTATGTTCTCCATGCCATTAGACCATCCTTTAAAAAAGAAGTGCTCCATTATTCCACACTTTACAGCTTTATTTTGAACTAACTAATGTCTTGGGTTGTTTTGGTAATAATAAGCAAACATTGTTGGTTATGACTCGTGTTTATAAATGTTCCCTTTAAGATACTTTTAAACATTAAAACGGCATCAACAGCAAAAATCTCCGTGCTCGTAAACAACAACACAAACCACTTCACACCTTGTGTTGCATAATTGGACCGTACTATATCCAGAAGCACACACATGTCCTGAGTATGAACTGACAATGTGATGTGATGAATGTTCAAGTCTGGATATTTGTGTCCCAATTTGAATACCACACGTAAGAAACTAGCCCTTAGCATTTATCACATGACAGTCCTGTTAAAAAAAAATCTCTAAAGAAGTTGTTGTCAACAAGACGTTCACCCCAGGAAAGTGTTTAATAAAAACATGACATTGTTATTTTTGTCTACTTTATAAAATAGGCCAGTTGATTTTTATTTTTTATTTTCTTCTGTTCAGTCAGAACCCAGAGATCCGTCATCACATATCTAAACATGTAAATATTGTTGGGTCTGTTTAAATGCAGCATTCTCCTCTACATCACTGTCAGGGCTCTGCTGTGGCTCTCAATCCTCCAGGCTTTAAATATTTTGTTCACTCAGAAATCACAAGACCAAATGAAAGCCATTGAGTCACATGACGCTCCCCACCAGCAGCCACAGCTCATTTCTGTTTTCCTCTGAGCCACAGCCCAAGTTGTCACTTGGCAGGAAAATCCCTCTTGGCCGGTGGTCTTCAGGCTGTCTGCCCCCCCCCCCCCCCCCAATCACCATTCTGTTCTCCAACTGTTGTTGTTACTCACAGGCAGCTGCACTTTTTCTAGTTGTGGGTAGGATGTCTGGACAGCTGGTCCAAGTGGCTTCTTCAGAGCGGCTGAATTGACCATTGGAACGACAAATAAATCTCTTGGATAAAAGAGGAAACACACTCAACAGAACCACAACTCCAGCTGCTTCTGAGTCAACATTTCCACAACTGTGATCTGGATGATTTTCCTCTCTGTCTTTGGTGTAGCAGCATACTGTACTGCAGTTTTACTGTTACTCTACCGATACTGTATACTGCTCAGCTTTAAAATGATTTTCAGGACTGTGTAGATTTTCAGGAAGGATGACAGGCAAGAAATATAAGAGTAGGAGTAAGAGTACCTCAGCAGTTGAATCATATATTTTATAATACATTATAATTATAATACATAAAGATGTTCTTTTAAACATCAGAAATTACCCATGGTATGAATCATTTTTGACAGATGACATTTACGTAGGGTACAGTAATAAATAATAATTAAACATATGATTGTTGAAATTGTTAAGATGTTTTTAGTTGTTATTGGGTCATTACTGTCACAAGGTTGTCAGACATAACAAGATGAAAAAAAAAGTAACAGGATTTCAGTTTTCCGTTACCCATTTCCTGTTGAGTCATATGCACTCGCACTATTTTTATCTTGTTTGATGCGTTGTAGGCCGGGTCTAATTGGCCCAAGGCACTAAATAGGCTAAGACTCCTATGTTCTGTGGAGCTGATGTGCTGTGAAAAATGTAAATGTAAAAGTTACATCAAACATCAATCTAAGTTTTTTTCGACAAGACAAGTTGATTTTTATTGAACAAAACACGTGCCTTTTAATTATCATTTTTACTAATTGTCTTTTTGTATGTTCTCTTTTCTCCTCAGTCAGTGATAATTCTAGCCTGCGTTGGTGCAGTGGGTCTCGGCCTCAGCCTCCTAATCCTGACGGTTTACCTAATCTGTCTGTGCTGCTGCCACAAGGACATAGATGAGGAAACTAAGAGACCTAATAACCGCTGCATCACCTGGACAGCTGTGGCCGCTGGCCTCATCATATGGTGAGTGGAGATGACTGACTGCCGGAGACAACATGTTCTCCTCACACTTATCCATTCATCATGTTCTGATTATTGAATTAGAGAATTAAAATGATAAATTACCGGCCATGCACGTGGGAAAAACTCCATCGAGGAAAACCCAAGTTACAGCCAGGGGATCAAACCAGGAACCATCTAAACATTGTACCACTGCGCCATCGCACGGTCCCATATTTCAGATCATGCCCTGAAATAGCAATAATATCACTGACCTCAGAGCAGACAGAGCACTGACAAAAGTTAATCAATAAAAGTGTAATTGAGAACAAGTACATGAAAAAAACTGGTTTTGGACGTAGAAACCTCTCCTGGTAACAGGGACTGTATGACAGCTGGGTGTAAACGAGAAGACTCAATGAATCATCAACATCTTTGCTGATGACGCCGACCTCTCTATGAAAGTCCACTGTAGATAATTTCTCCAGCTAAACAGCTTAGATTCCCAACCATTCGATTTGTTATTGTTGTTGGTCAACAAAAACAAGACTCAACAGTTTTAGTTCACGACCACCTATTTTAGTTCACGACCACCTATTCTCAACCCGTCCAGCCTTGGGGTAGGGTGGGGGAGGGGGTAACACAGCAGTTAACACATGCAGCTGAGAGAGAACACCTTCAGTGATCAAACTGATCAATCTTTTGGTACCATTTACTTGGGCAATATTGCTGCTCATTTATCAACAAGAGACAGTTGTTCACTAAAGCCAGACCAAAAAAACAAAAAAAAAAACCCTCACGACAAAGTCTCATTGGACTGGTACTGTGACTGAAATACAGATTGTGGAGACAATTGCCTTCGCTCTCCTGAAGTGATTGTGTGTGTGGCTTTGTGGGCTGAATACTGACTCGCTCCTGTATGATGTCAGTGCTGTTGTTGTGTCACTCAGGTGAACAGACTCTTCTGTTTGGTATTTAGTCATACATACTGTAAGGATGTCTTGAACAATTACCAGAAGAAGTGGTGTTTCTACTGGTTTAGAAAAAATTAAGTAAATAAAACTGAAAACGTTTCTTACTTGCACATTTAGAGGAAAAAACACAGTAAAGCATGACATGGTAAAAAGTCTAGATGCATTCAACAGCATCGGTAACAGTGACCGGTATCTCAGTGTTTGTGCTCAACAGTACATTATGTTCCATATTTGGATCATTGGCATCATTGGCATCAAATCAACACTGTGTTCCTTCAACGTTGACCACAAAAAAATATTTATCAAGAAGTGTGTGTCAGTGTTGCAATTTGAGTAAGAATTGTCCAAAAAAAGAAAACAGGAAACCTTGACTTGAAGATTTTTAGATGTCTGTTTTCACTGTCAACTGTCTTCCATCATGTATGAGTTTGTATTTTAAATAATGAACAAGATAGACTCAAACTTTTGTATGCTTTACTTTGTGTGCATGTGGATTGTCACAAAACAACACCCCCTCCCCCAGTTAAAATTTAAATATGTAACTCCAATACATTGAGAAAAAAAATTGTTCTTTAAAAAGTGAGCGACAACAATCGGGTCTTTCTGAAAAGCTTGATTTGATTTGCGTTATGTTCTGCTTGAACTTGTGACAAGCGTTGCCTTTTAACTCTGTTAGCTTCACTGTCTCCCTGCTAAGCTACAGCTGCGGCACAGAAGATCTGTTGTGATGCTAAGTGACTGAGCATGATACCGTTTAAAAGAAAGGAGCTGTGTGTTCAGGACTCTGGTTTCAGTGCTCATCTCTCTCCGAAGAGCTGTTGCAGCGAACCTTTAGGCACGGGTCGACGGGTAAAATGCCACACACGGCATTCAGTTAAATGAGTTGTACAATGAATTAGTGCAAAGTTAAGGTCTGTCTACTGTTCAGTAGCTTGAAACACTGGTAAAGGTTCCTCTCCACAAGAACGTTTACCCAAAAGACTATTTGAAAGTGGAAAGGTATTAATTTGGACATCTTTAACCTTTGGGTTTCCAGGTGTCTTTAAATGATGTACTACTTGTCAAACACTGTATTTCTGTAACTTTGAGGTGTATGGCTAATGTGAGCAAAGAAGAGGAGCAGAAAAGGAAGAAGCCAGAGAGTAGAATATTAAAAAGTAACATTCTCTTGTGCGACATTGTACTCCATTGTTAATGTTTGCCCTAGATTATGTTCAGTTCAGTTTTTAGATTTTGTTTGAAATCGCAGATGGTGTCGTAACTGTCGCTTCCAAGGAGCGTTTGGAGCCGCACAGTGTATAAATGACCAACATCATGCCTCCTAAAAATGCAGTTTTAAACAAAATACCACTGTTGGCCAGCAGGGACAGGCTCCAAAATAGCCTGGCTCTCATGATTTGAAACGGGCCAAAAGGATATTGAACGTTCTTTTGAAGTACTAAATGAATTCATTGGTAAATTGGTTTCATATGGCAGAATGTGTCCATCCTTGGTGACAGCTGGACAACTTATGGCTCAGCACCACAAACAGATTAGTCTGTTCAAAATAGGAAATGCTTCTTTATTGTGCACTATACCAGAGCACACCATGAGAGATCATCTGGTACACCAGGGGTAATTATTCTGAAAAATACTGCAAATTATTGGACTTTGCGACAGTGACAGGCAAAATAAACACTATTCCACAAGGTGGCAACAGATAGCTATAAAAACTGTGTACATCTTTCTCCAATTCCTTTTTTTTTTTTCAACTAAACACGCCTAGTTAGAAGTGAAACTATAAGGTCATTATATTTCATTACATTTAGGAAGTGAAACTGTCTGTCTATGACTTGACATTTTTAATGAAAATATTACATATTTTTATTATCATACTGTTGCTAACAACATTTTCATACTGATAAACATGAATATGCGGAATGCATTGACATTTTAAACATATGCAATGCAACTTCATTGTAATTCATTTTAATCTTCAAGTTTCATGTTGATGCTGCTAAAACTGATGAAGTTGCACTTCAAAGACTTCATATTTGCAACACCATCACATTGTCCATTTCTAATATGTAGTCTACATTGAGATTTAGCGGTTCGGAGATGACGTTTTGTTGCTTTATTAATTTTTCATCAGGTAAATTTCTCCAGACATTCAGCACCTTTGAGTTTTACTGTGGAACTCAAGCAAAACAAAAACATCAGAGATATACTGCACTGCTGCGGATACATCCCCGATCTCTGGGGAGTAAATTGAATAACTTTATTTTAAAGATAAAAAACAAACATTACCTCCACGCACCGCTCTCTGTTTACTCTTATATCACAGCAGCACACTTCTGGCTCCTAAAATCAAGGTGTTTATTTGTCATTACTGTTTTCCTTTTTCTATTCCGATGCGACCATTTTTCAGCTGGGCTCACTTACTGAATGCTGAATCCTAAAGTACAGTTCTCTTACAGTGCGCTGTGGCGTCATCTATCACAGGCGGGACAGAAACACTACATAACCTGAAGTGTAGTACATATGCATGAGTCCTATTCTTTATTGTGAAGGTTCCTTTTAATGCCTCGCGCTGCTGCGGGGAGAAAAACACTAATGATTCTCCCGAGGCTGCGCTGCCCCGTGATGGTGTCATTACCGTTTTGTTGCTGCATCATTAGTGGCTCTTTATTGTCACTGATGTGTCACTTGGTTTGCCACAGGGTTAATGAAGAGCTCATTGTCCAGGCTGCTGCAGATACCACTGCAACACTAATTTCCTTAGAGACATAAAACAAAACTCTTCAGTCTTCTTTAACTAAGTGAATCAATTAATTTTACAGCCGTAACAATTTATCGTACATGGTTTTTATGGTATTTATATTATTTTGTTTGGTCTTCTGCGACTGCTCTTTTTTTCTTTGTTTGCTGTGATTGAAAAGGGAAAAACAGCCTTAGAGTCAAAATGGCCGTCTTGATGTTTACATACCCAGGGAGCTGTTAGCGTAAAGCTGCGCATGTAAAGATTTATAACAAACAGATTTAGCCGTCCACTCTTGAAACTGACACCTAGGTAGATAACTCAAGTTGTATTTCATTAAACATTTACCAATAAATTCATTAACCGATCAATTGGAAATCCAAATAGGAACCATGCTAACATAGCACAGTTAGCGATGTATATCATCATCAATGCATACTTTACATGTCTTTAGCCCTAATACATTTGTGTGGTCAAACATATGGTGACATATACAATCATGGCCTGCATGTTCCTTGTCAGTGTTCTTTCAGTTTTATGAAAGTATAAAGCCAGAAAACTTTTCTTGACTTAAAGACAAGTGTGAAAAATCCATTTCAAAACTGTCAAAAAAGTGGCTCCTAAAAAAAAATGGGAACCCAGGTCCATTTGTTATACACAGTCTTTGAATGACACAGCTCGCGCGCTGGTACCGTATCATGTGTTAAATGAAAAAAAATTGCTGAGCATATGTTCTGTCTTTTGTCACACAGACTCACTGCGGAGACGGGTTGAACCACAGAGGAGCCAGTGTAATCCTGACAAAAAAAATAATTATATTACGCTAGAAAATGTCCTCAGCCAACAGCCCATAATATGGCACCCTTAGATTTTTGCTATCTAAATCATGATTATAATCTGTCTTCTGCAGGTGAGTCAAACATTCCCTCAGGATGTCACTAACCGCTGACCCGTGTGTAGAGTTGCATACTGTAATTATACCTAATGAAAGCGGTGACACTGCTCATGTCAGCTAAGCCTGTAAGCACTGAGGGCACAGTGACTCTGGGAGTTAGGACACTAATCCTCTCTATTACAGCAGCTCAGACACAGCCACAAAAAGCTGCAGAAAGGTGGGAAATGGGAATTCTCTGTGTCCCTCTCTGATGCCATTTTCTGATGCCGAGCTGAATTCTAATGTGGATTTAGCCAAGAATGAGAAAACCAATTTGAACGTGCAAAATATTAAAGTTTGAAATGCTTGCCTTCATATACTGTATGAAACATATACATTCCTGTAACTATTAGTACAATGTAATTTTTCAATGGCATTTTCAAGTATATAAACTGAAATAATACAATAAAATAATATAAAGACACTATGAAGCCATTTCTTCCCAAAGGCCTATCCTTTAGGAAAATATGCTTCCCTGGTGTTTATCACTTTGAATGTCATCACAGGCTCCATAACCAATGAGTAGCAGCGTAATAAGACAAACATCTTATGTATTACTTTTATTTTTCATAAATATTTTCCTCTTTTTTTCCACAGTTCTGCTGTTGGAGTGGGTTTCTATGGAAACAGTGAGACCAACGATGGGGTTTATCAGCTGACCTACTCACTCTACGGAGCCAATCAAACAATAGGGGGCATCAATAATATGGTGAGAGACAAATGCCAAGCTCCACATGTGAGAATATGGGTTCAGGCCTGCAGTCTTTACAAAAGTAAATCAAAATTCAAGGGAAGTTTATTACATGGCACATTTAAAATAACTGTGTGATAATCTGAGTATTTTACTGTATTTATTTGCAGATTGACTGAATATAAACCTGTGAAATTAGACATAAATCATATGGTGTTGTCATGACATCAAATGTTTTTTTGGTCCTGAATTTGGTGTTAAAGACGGAGATGGCACAAGACAGGGACATGACGCTGACACTTTTACTTTGCTTTTAAGGTACAGGTTGTACAGCGGAGCCTGAATGCAGTGACTAAAGTGGTCTTACATTATATTACAGTAGCAATTTAACAGTTGAATCACTGCGAGCTGACGGGGCAATAAAAGTGTCAGAGATGTGAGACTTATGAAGACTCATTTCAATGTGAATAACTGCTCGCCTCATACGTCTTACAGTGTGTCTTCTTTTCAATTACTAACATATTTTATTAGCCATGATGGAACAAAGCCTACTGTTTTCATGGCTTATTGTCTCAGTCTACTTGGAATCATTGATTTACAGCCGTTGGACTCCACGGCTCCTCCTTTATTAATGGGGTGTGTCCTGTTCCAGAGAAGCATCCCAGCGTGAGGAAGGTCTGGATCCATATTTTCATTATTGTGTAAAGGAATTAAGATGAAGGGTGGTGGGTTGATGGAAGGTATTTCCCCTGAATCCTCTGACCTGTATTCAGGAAAGATATAAGAGGTAAGGGTGAGGGTTGGGGGTAGAGAACGTTACAGTAAACACAGTGAGGAAGAGGAGGATTGACTTACATCAGCAGAACGTTAATGGAGGCTTGACTGCTCGACTGGCCTTCACTCTGAGCCTTCTTCGTGTGTGTGTGTGTGTCTTTGGTCATATCATATTTCATGTCACACAGCAAATACAGTGTCCTGCATATCAGAATGTACGTGTACTGTAACAGAATAATACACATGACTCGCATAGAGGCAAAGTACTTCACTGCTTCGTTTTCAAACAACCGCAGATCCACCTACCTCTGTTCTGTTCATCTATTCAGAAAATTTCATTTGCTGAAATACTACACAGTATCTGTCAGTAAACTACGGTACAGTTGTGCAGCCATACAAATCACCACGCAGTTGACTACATACCCCTCCAGAAGAAAGTCTCGACAAGACGTGAAGACAATATGCCCTCGAAGCTGCAGCATTTGTTTCAGATCCACTCTTCGATGGCTTTAGTTTCATCTCGGGGTCCCAAGTAATCTGGCAAGAAGTTTGCAGCACTGCATTTTCCACCATCCAGTATAGGAAATAAATTAGATGATTTCACATCCTAGCTGCTGACTTTCTCTGCGGTACTGCGTTATTGATTTGATACTGTAGCATGATGGAATATACTACGGCTGCATGAGAAAGATATATGATCCCCATGGGAACAAAGGCTTTCTCACTCGTAAAACCGGAGCAGGATGTAATGTACTCCACTAACACGGTTGATGATTTGCCCAGGTGTTGGTCCCACGAAGCTGACGTCTGATTCTGATGGTGTTCGTTCCTCTCTCCTGTTCGTTACCTGTCTTTTGGCTGTTAATATTTACTCTCCTTTAAACCTTCAAAGACGTCTGCTTTGTTGCATTTGCTTGTTAGTAGGTTTTTTCCAGGAAATAAACAAACAACAAGAGCGGCAGGGCTTCACAAGGCTCCTGTGAGGTTTGTGATTCACCATCCAGAAGCAGTTTGGCTCTTGTGAAGGCTTGTCGAGGATCTTCTCCTCATAAAATATGCACTTTCACACTCTACTAGGGATCAGCGTGTATCACAGAGGGGATGTTTTGACGAGAAGGACCATTTGTCCCCCAGCTTTGAATAGGAGAAACGGAAGTGCATACTAATTGATGCATGCCTGGAATTTAAAACTTTCATGGCAGTTAATTATATGCAGGAAAGGTAATAGGCAAAAAAATGCATTTGTACAACCGGCAAATGTAAACATGGCTATCTTCTGGGTTTATTGTCATGCAGCGTTGATTCGTCGGCTCTGTAGACTCATTTTCAACGTCATTGAACGTTGGAATGATGGAACAAGACTTTCTCAATAACTCAATAGGAGAGGTCTTCTACATTCACAGATTCACACAAACTCCTCATTGGATCACGGCTAGTTGTCTGTATCAAGTCACATACAGCTGAAGTTTCTGCTGCTGCTCCCTTATTAGACCCAATGAACGGGTTGTGAAAACACATTGACGGTACTGAACGTCAACTTCACTCAATGTCCGTCAGTGTCTCCTGATCAAAGATGCTGTTTCAGTGAAACAATGGATGAATTATTAATCAACAATGCAAACAATGTCAGGTGACAGAGGGTCCAGTTCAGTCCAGTTCAGTCCAGTTCAGTCCAGTTCAGTCCAGTTCAGTTCTACATGAATCAGCACACTGTAGGCCAATCAGTTGTTGTCACTCAACGACCGTGTCTAACATCCTGTTAGTAAAAGTGAGTTCTAATCTGCTTTAAAAGAAGACAGGCCGGTTCAGATGAAGGGAATGCAGATTACACACAACAGAGACTCGATTGAACCCATTTCTCACACTTACACACGCCAGGCTGCAGATAAAATTCAGGCGGCAGTGGGAGATGATGAACCTAAAGGCGGGGAGTGAGAGCAGTTTACCGGCAATCACTGGGCAGCCCATGGGACTTAGAGCGGAGGATGGGCTGGGCTGCAGCCTTCAGGCTTTGAACACAAGTACTTTGTTGAGCAGAAAGTAAGAAGTACAACTTGGTAGAAGTAGGAATGTGGGGGTTTCTTTGTAGTGAGCGGTCGAACAGTTGGACTCAGAATGGTTGAATGTGTTTGAGAAATGAGAGGTGTAACACACAGATGATGATAAAGCAGGTGGGACTGAGTGTCACACTGTGGCAAATTAGAACGTAGAAAACAACATCTGTTCAGAATTAACGCAAACTCCTACACACTTTTCTAGCTAGTGGATATTTGTCATCGCCGCGAGAAATAAACTGCTGTTTATTTTGAATAACAAAATTCACAGAGTTGTGCTTGTATATGGGGTTTTTCTTATATACAATTTTTAGAATTTACAAAAACACAGTGTAACAGTAGCAGGAACATTCCATATAGTTCTGTGTATTGCCCTTTTTTTAAACGCTTTGTTCAACATTGACCTGTGTCTCACATTTGAGCTGCAGCTCTTCAGAATAAACCCATTCCCTGGAACTGAACTACAGGATGGATAATTAAAGTGTTGTGGGATTTTAGTCTTGTTTTTACTGTGGACCACTTTCTTTTTATAGCAGCTTCACTCTGCAACCACAACCTGCTGGGTGTGTTAGTAACATTAACATCCATTATCTATATAATATCTATGACTGAGCAAGCTTCCTTCAGTGGTGAACTATAAAACCTGCCAGAATGTGTTTAATACCACATTTTTATAGTTGATGTTTAATGAGTGGTTTGTGAGTCAAATCTGATTTTTACAGTAGTATTAATACACTGAGAACTGGACGAAGAAGAAGAACTCAGTTTCACTGTGACCTTTATTAAATACTTTACGGGACCTCTGTTTAATGAGTTTATTCGTTCTACATTCGTAATGCAGGAAAGAGATAGCGAATAAAACGATTTTAGAAATTAATTTCAAGATGAATAATCCGAGCTGAACAGTCGAGTGTTCTCTGTCTGAGAGGAGTTTTTATTAAAAGAGTTTTATTAAAAAAGCAAAGACACTTCATCACTGTTTCCTGCATTTTCGTATTCTTAAAAAGTACAGTACACAAGTTCTCAGTTGTCTGTATCATGTCATCAAAGCAGTTATGTGGAGGGGCAGCTGGGTGTTCTTGACTCCATGAAGATATTTCACCTCTTCATCCAAGAGCCTCCTTCACATTTATCTAATGGAAAAATGTTAGTGTGTCACATGGGGTTGGTGTCACCTGGAAGACACAATAAAATCTTTTTTGTTTTCTTTTTTTTTGAGTAGAATATTGGGTTGCCTCCCTCAGGTAGAGTCAGACCAGAGAGCTCCGCTCGGTGCTGCTCTAAGATTGCACCCCTGCTCAGCATCATAGCCTGTCATTGAGCACTGAATCTTTGTTGTTTGTAGTTTCTGGCAAGAATATTTCACATGTGGTATATAGAGGTAAAGAAGCTTGGACTAGTGTTAATGAAGTGAATCTGGAGGAGGACGTAGGTGATGGTAGAAGGAATTTTGTCAATAATTTTTTGTTTTTAATTTTAATACAATTGTTATAAATGTTTTTCCCCTATTATATACTGAAGGAAAAAAAAGAGGAAAATATTCCAGCCCTTAAGGATTGGCCCCTGACTGGTATTTATTTGGTCGACAGTCTTTTACTGCATCACATTGTTTTTAGATCGCGCCAAAAAGTAAAGTGTATTCTCTCCATCACGCCTCGTCTAACTCTGCTCTCTCCATCAAAGACCTCTATGATAACAGGTCTCCCTGGTGTTTCTATCAGTATTCCACTCTAACATTGTTTATCAAAATAAAACACTCGGTGTTAAAGGGAAAAATAAATCCATTCCCCAGGGTATGCTGCCGTGGTTCTCTGCCCTCACTACGTACTTTTTTTTTCCTCCAGGAAAGTGTTTTTAATATATATTTATTCATGTGCCTCTTTCCTTCTGACCTTGTTTTCACTCTGGCATCATTTCTCATTCCTCCTTCATTTATTCATGTACCTATTCCATGATCTATTTTTTTAATTATTATTATTATTTCTTTAATTCAGTGACCTTATATCATGTGCGTTTAGGTCTCGGGTTCTGTTGGCAACGCGGAGACTGGACTTAAACAGCACCTGCTGCGGCTGGATGAGATCTTCTCTACGAGACCTGACTACCTCCAATCTCTGCGCTTCATGCAGCTGATGTTAAACAATGTGGTCCGAGAGCTAACGGCCCTGCCAGACGTCAGTAAAGCCAACGTGGACTTGACAGCCATCGCTGACCAAATAGCCTTTGCGGAATATTACAGGTAGGCGGAGCTGTAACAGCTCTCCTTGACACTTCTTCCTCAACGCCACACTGTGAACACTGTGAACCAAACCAGGGAGCATGTGTGTGATGTCATTAAATGAATGCGTCTGTGGAACCTGTGAGCGGAATCGTTAAGCAACCAGACTTAAGATTCCGAGGAATCGCACCTTTGGGAGCCAGTTCTCTACTTTACAAGAACGGGAATTAGGAGAACACAAGGAACAGATGGGATTTTATTGGTATCCTCTTCGGAATACTGACCAAAAATCCATCAGCTTTATTACTTGTAGTTTATAGTGCAGTTAGCACAAATGTCAATAATGAATTAGAGGAGTTGACACAAAGACTCTATTGTTCTTTGGGAGTTTTATTTCCTGTTTCTCCCTTAAAAATATTTGAATTTTGGGGGATTTTTTATGAAAAGCAGATGTACTAAGGTTTCAAAAATGATTCAAACCAACAGGGTTAGGTTTCATACAGTAAGTCACTGGTTTGGAAAAAAAACCTCCTAGTCTCCTAGAGTTGTCTCCTAAACCTCACAGGTGATGGGTGTTTTTGTTTGTTTGTTTGTTTTATTGTGGTTACCTAAATCAATTCATCACATTACTGGGTTTAAAAGCTAAATAAATATATCTCGATATTGCTAAAGATAGCTAGTTAGCTTCCTGACATGGCTCATAATTTTCATAAAAGTCTCCATAAACCAAATGTACAAAATATCCAGTGTCAAGCAACAAAAACTTTACCAATGCAGTTTTAAAATCTCCAAAGCTTTTTATACTCAGGTATTAGATTCATAAAGACTCTCCCACAACCGCCCTGAGAGCGCTGCTATTGTACCTAAACCTTATTTTGGACCACATTTGCCACTATTCTTATACTGTACCTTTTCCCCTGGGCTGTGATTACATTTCATGTAGGCGTTGAGTTCTGGACGACTCGTGCCAGGGACTTATTGATGAAGAGGAAGTATTACAGCCGTCCCTGTGGTATTATGGGACATCATCGTCTCTGTTTACCAGTATGACTGTACGTTCGTTCTGCCCTTTTCAGTTTCCAATGACTAATGTCAGCATGCCATTAGAGAAGCATACAAATAAAGTCAAGTGCAGAAGAAGCGCATATCTGGTGTAAAGTATTTGAGGAATCCAGGAATCATATTCTCCAGTGATGTGGGTTAAACCTGTTTTCCACAATGATGCAGGAACATTACAGCAAGTCTCTGTTTACACCCGCTGTCTTTGGTTGTTGGAGCATCAGGCTGAAGGTTAATGTTTTTAGTAATCGCTGTCAAATTGTCAATCCTCTAAGGATGAAGTGAAGTTAAGAGTGAGTCAAACAGTAAGTATTCCCATGTGTCTGACTGGGAGAAAACAAACTCACACACACACACACACATCAGATCCAGGCGGGGTGTAGGCCGTTCCTGTGAAGGACACTTTTAAAGCTTGAAAAATTAATGTCAATGGATTTGTGGTGTTGAATTATTAAGGCAACAGGCTGAAAATTACCTGAAACAGATGGGCTCTAACCAGGAGACAGGAATGCTGATATACACCACGCCCAGATCTCACACACTCTGCTGTGGAACATATGTCAGAGCAGCACTTCCTCAGGCTCGTACTTGAGAATAATAAGTCTGATGTCTCCAAGTGAAAGGTGATCAATCACCATTGTTATGCTCATTTTCCTGTCTTCTAGATGGCTGACGTATCTGTTGCTGCTCATCCTGGACCTGATTATCTGCTTGGCCTTGTTCTTGGGGATGGCCAGGCAGTCTCGGGTGCTCATCATCATGTAGGTATTCTGAGTGTTTGTAAAATAAATAAAACTAACTACTTTGATTATTCACTTAATCACTTACATAATCCAGAAACAAAACTAGAAAATACTTCAAATACTATGGGAACACTAATTTTTGCAAAGTTTGGAAAAACATTTCCCCGTCTGTTCATAAGAGCCGAGCTGTGTGATTGTCTTCTTCATGATCTGGACGGCAGTGCCATATTGACATCTGTAAATGGGAACTGTATTTTCTGAGACTACTTTTTAAAGTGTGTCATGAGCCATACAGCAGTCAGTCTTACTGGCTCCATAACAGGTCACTCTAATGAAATACAGATAGTATTGCAGTTACAAATATCACAGATGTGGACGATCAATATCTTCTCTCTTCACTTCATCAAAACCCATTTTCCTGCTCCTAAAAGGAGACGCGTTTGTTAATTGTTATTAGAGCAATATATGAGAGAAAAGAAAAAACCAGAGCTGTTGACAGTCCAAATCCACAGTCCAGACTTCTTATTGAATCTGTCATAGTTAGTGTAGCCTGTCGGTCAGGACTTGCAGAAGATTTTTAGGGCTCTTCTCTGCTTCCTGTTTGGATGGTCCTCACTAATGTCTATTGATCGCCTGAGCAGGATGAATCTGCTCCCTTAACTAATTGTTAAGTGCTCTCAGGCTACTTATCGATGCTTTCAAGAAGGTCTGAGGAGTCAGTTGAGAGTGGCAAAGCTTTACCAACCTATTTACGTCCTCACACAGATACTCTCTCTCTCTCTCTCTCTCTCTCTCTCTCTCATCATACCCAGTGTCTGTCTCTCTTCCATCTTAATCCACGGTTAATAGCGAAAAAAATAATAATTGGAATCACTGTGTCATCAGACTGAATGCCAAAATGCTTCATAAATTGATTCCTCTTAGTGGCTCAGACAAAACTGGAGACTGGCAGACCATAGCATGAGTCATTGTTTTACTCTCAGTGACTCTTCACAGAGATTGACAGCGAGAATATTAACGTCTGCCATGAATGATGACAGGATCGGACAGAGAGGCTCTGGACTTATTGTAGTCTAGTCTGGCGTGAACAGAGATCTCTGGTGTCAACCTTGTCTTGGTTAAATTAACAAATGAATTCATCACAGGCTCAGAACTGTGTTAATTTATCCCCTTATCAGAACATAATTAATTTCATTTATCGTCTTCGCAGCGTTACGCCACTTTAGCTGGTGTCTCCAGGCGTTGAGAGAACAATTTTCTAGTGAAAGCCAAAAAAAAGGAATAAATGGGTTTAACTGGAGGGATGAGTGTTGAAGATCGGCGGAACAAAGACAAACAGATTTATCTAGTTCCCCACATCTGTCCTTTACTTTGTCTCTGTCTCCTTGTCATACACGCCTCACCTCCTATCTCTCTCATTTGCTGTCATGCTCCAGGGTCATGGCTTTTGTAACGCTGTCTCTGATCCTGAGCTGGGCCTCACTGGGAGGAGACACCGCTGCAGCTGTGGTGAGACAAACAATGGCCTTTTTTGTAAATTTTAAGGTTTTATAGTGTTCTACATCAGTGTTTCCCAAACTTTTATTCTGGGGACCCATATTTTAAAACTCACAAACATTCACGACCCAAGTCAATAGACATTATACGTAAACTCCTGGGAAACATGATGTGAGACGACCCAAAAAAAAAAATCTTCTACAAGCTTCTACAGAGTTGGATGGTCCAGTATTCAAGTTGCACTGAATCAATGTGCAAACAATACAGTAAAAACCTTTACAGTAAAATGCTCTAAATCATTGTTTTTCAATCTTGGAGCCACAGCCCCATGTGGGGTCTCCAGGAACTTGGTTGATGATAATGATATGGAGACGTTTCACAACATTCAAGTACAAGTAATTATCATCTGCATAATGTTGAACACCACCTGTGACCCTAGTGTGAAACCACTCATCTTCACTAAATGTGTGTAAGTATACTGTCATTCCATAGAATATACATCTTTTACATTAATCATTCATATAGTTTTATTAAATGTCACTGATTTTCTATACATCCACGTGCCATTATATATTAAAGACCAAATAGCCGTTTCTGCTGCCGTCACTCATCATCCTCCACCTGAGCTCATCTGTCGCTGCACAGATAAAACCAGAGTTAACCAGTGAAAACAGATTGCCAGAGAAAACTAGACCAAGATGAACTCCTTTCTGGATTGGCCCCCGTTAGCCACACTTATTTGGTCTTGTTGCCTCTGCCTGGAACAATTACTCCTGGGAGTGTTACTGTCGACGTGGTCATGGACGTCTCCGCTGTTTAAAAGGTGTTTGCTTAGTTTACAGCAAAAGTTTCACTGTGGTCAGTCAAGCAGTAAAGCTGATTATAAGTCCCCTGGCTTGGCTTACTCAACCTTTAGCCTAAGCATTGTAAACGAGGCTGTCTGTAACATTAATTACTTTCTCCAGCTTCTCCACCAGCTCCACTCCCCGGTACTTCTGTGCTTTGTTTCTCATTAATTCTTCCATCTTTTTGCAAAAAAAAAAATAAAAATATTGCGTCTTTTTGAGCAGTCTTGCATTAAGGGATAATCCCACACATTCAAATGTGGCATCTGGGCATCATTTTAAGGGGCAATAATAAAACAGAGCAAGAGTCAGATGTTTTTTAAAACAGACATCTGCTGTGGTGTTTGGCTTATATGTAATAATGTTAAAGTAGGTGAATTATTTTGAAAAGGAAATATAGTTAGGCTAGCTAAAATGGCTAGTTAAGATAGCTTAAATGGCTATACTGATAGGGTAATTTGACAGAAATAGCTACAGCAGGGTGAGAATAGCAGAAATGACGGTTCTTTAAATGGATTTTTTTGATGAAAAAAATTATGAAAATAACTTTGTTTACTTCTCACAAGAAAAAGAAACTGTCAGTGTTAGCAAACTGAGAACTTTGAACCAAAGCTGAGAAAAGGAAATTATGGCATTCTTTTCTCTGACCCTGAGTGAGAAAACATATTTATTTGTTCTTCTGGGTTTCTATCTTTTTTAAAAACACTGAAAAAAGAAAATCTGAAATGAGTAAAAACAGAGGGAGAACAAACAGCTTTCAAGGACTAAACCCAAGGTGAATTACTCAAATGTGATAGTAGTTGACCTACTAACACCAACTCTCATAGTGTTTTATTTGAATTCACTTTTCTTACACTTAATTGTTTTGTGTGTATTGCAGGTATCAGTGTAACACATTTGTTCTGGTACTTGCTAAGAACTAACTAACACAATTTTTTGCTTGTTAATTGCTTGAAAATGATTTGGAAATCACATTGGTTAAACATAGCCCAAAATATAACTTGACTGGGCCTAAAAATAGATTTTAATAAATGCACTAATACATTCATCATGGAATTTGAAGAATTTTAACAGCCACTGTTTAAAATAATTGAAAGCTACAAAAAACTATTTTTAAATTGAAGTGGTGAACTCCCCACCTCCTTTCACCTCCTAGTCACCAGTATTTCTTCCCAAACTTTCATCATAGATGAGCTGTGGTAAAATGTCTACCTTAGTTATTAGCAAACCAGCTGTTTTTCGTCACAGCACTCCAGGAGTTGAAAAACACCGTCTAAATGTGGAGTAAGCCAAACAAATAAACTTGTTGCATATGTACATCATTACTCACAAACTGCATCTTAAAAGGAATGCATATGATTTTGGTGTCCTAGAAAATCCTCATACATTTATACATGTTTGATGAGGCGCAGCATAAATAAAATGTTTCTGCTGCTATAATGAGACAGAGATGAAGGGTGACATCCAGCAGCAGCGCTGACATGTGGCGGCGCAGCGTTTGCCAAAAACAAATGATCACAGTCAAAGGCGTGTTGAGAATGTGAAAGTAAATTGGCAGAAACATGTTTTTTTATAGAATACAAAGATGACACGGAGGTCTGTTGAGCCGCTCTGCTGCAGGATTCCCATGTTTACTTTGTTGTGCTTTGGTGCATCATTTGTTTCATTATTCATCATGGGATGGTTGCGGTGATAGATTTAAGGCTTTTTCTGTTGTAAAATTTCACATGAGGCATTTTGACTGCAGCTGAGATACAAAGCTGTGAACAGAAAGATTAATGTCGCTTTGGTGAGTAAATATTAACTCTACAGATATGAGTTGTGTTTCATAAATAAATATATTTGTACTTTATTGATCCCATATTTGGGAAATTGTTGTGTTAGCAGCAGATATGCTGTTAACAGACTGCCCCTAGCAAGCGCCAAGCATGTGTTTCCTCTGGGAATCGAACCCAGGACTCTCTGCTTCCGAGGCATTTTTTGTGTGCTTGGTGTCCTAATAATATCCTTAAATTCACCAACATTTGGTAGAGGTGATGTTTGAATGAATCAATCCTTTTTTTCTTTTTTTTTACTTAGCTTCTGAAGTAGAACGCAGAGTTCTAAAACTTTACCAAAACTAGATAAACATTGGTCAAAGAATAATAATAATAAGCTAAATAATAACACCATTTCAGTTCTGTAAGTTAGCTAACATCTAGCAAACAGGTTAAAGTTCCACCAAAATCTCTCATTTAAGTAAAGATCTATACTCACAGATGTGTTAGATGTAGCTTACAGTTTTTGTTTTTTAAAAATATAGTATTATTTTAAAAATCACAATTGAAAGAATACAAAACCTAAAGTGAAAAAACAACACAATCTCAATAAGAAACAGTTGAAGGTGTGACTAAAAGTTTATTTTTGAAAAAATAGAAAACCATTAGTCATCAGTGCATTACCATGTTTTAAAAGTTTTCCCAGAAGCTGTAAGAAGTCCTGCATATCTAAAACTCTTTTTCAGAAACAATTAGCAGCCTCAGAAAAGTTAAAGTTTAATCAGTTAACCCTCAGTATGTCTAATTGCTTATCCTCACACATTAGGGACTCTTATGGCATTAATTCCAGAGCATAAAAATATTTAGCGCCTTTCAGCTACGGTCAGAAAAGCTTGACATACCGTACAGTCAAAAGGTCAAATGTCGGCGTTTCTAAGCACATTCCAATTTCTTGATGTTGTTTACATGTGAGGCTGCAGTTAGCGTCAGCATCTATAATGAGAATCTATGAGAGGAAGTCAGCAGCCTGCCTTTGAACATTTGAATCTACAGAGACTCATTTTCTCCTTAGCTCAATGCCAATATTAAAAAATGCTTAAGAGCAGACATTTGCTGAGTGACGGTTGATAGCTGCCAAAACTCACTTTTACTCCGTTGCTGCTGAAGAAATCAGATCCAGTTCACGGCCTCAAAATTATTGAGCTGTCTCCTTGGTCTTGCAAACCTTGCCAGATTACAGCATGTTGTTGTTTCTCCCAAAGGGCGCCAGTGATTTCTGCGTGGCTCCAGACAAGTTTATTGTCAACCAAACAACAGATGTCCTAACTGCAGGTAATGCAGCCACGTGTTCAAATATCAGCTACATGTTTTCCAAATGCTAAGCACAATGTTAATGTTAGTCTGTCACCCCATATTTCTGCTTCCTTCTAGATGTCGCGCACTATTACTTGTTCTGCACCCCCAACCAGCCGAATCCATTTCAACAGGTATGGACTGCATATTAAAGTCAGGTCATCTTTTATAGACATTTTAGCCCTTATCAGTTGCTTTAGGTCTTATATATACATATGTTAATAGAAATCTCAATTTAGAGGAAAGACATGACAACACCTTACAACGTCTTGCCTCCATCTAGATATAATGTCTTTACATACATATGCATGTATATATAGCTATGTATATATATATATATACATATATAGAGAGACATACAGTATATCCATATATGTGCCTATATATAGACAAAAATATACATATATATGCCAATATATTAATATATAGATATATATGTATATACATATATAAATGTAATAAAAAAAAATCAATGAACATTAAATGTTTCCCTTTCCTTATATCAGCTTTATTGGTCAAGTATGAGAGCACAAGGATTCATTTTTTTGTGTGTTACTCTCTTGAGCTTAAACAGAATAAATCATAACACTCAGCAGAGATAATTAAAAAAAAACAGAGGACACATCAAAACACGAAGAATAAATAAATTGTTTGTCAGTGTCTAATAGGCAGCAGGGGAGGAAGCTGTATATTAATTTGAAACATGTTGAATTATAGTGATTTATTGCAGATTTGGGCCTTTTGTATAATTATACTATGATGATGTTGTAATATTATATGAGTCAGTGTAACTTCATCTAACACTAAAGTAGCCACAAGGCCACGTTTCAAGTCAAACTGATTCATTCTGCGATAAAGCACATTCCACATTTTACTTCCAGTGTTAAACCAAAGGTTAATTAGTCATGTCTCAAATTGGGCTGCATTCAAAAGTTTGCCTTGAAAATAAAATGTCCAGTGTGAGAATCCCGGCGTTGGATAATGGCAGCAGGGAGGCGCTAAAAGCATTTTATTTTAACGCCTGTGGACTTTCAATCGTAATGTTTCCATGGCTTTTGAAGCGCTTTGTTCTTCTCTGCATTGAAAATTATGTAGGTGCAAAGGTCGCGAGGGCTAATTTCTTGTTCTTTTAATAGCAGAGGTTCTCCACAGATTTACAGGGACATATTGTTAAAGATAAAAAAAAAGTAATCCCAATGTCCCACAGCCAGGACTGTAAAGTTATACAATCAGCAACAAAGTATAATCTGCCTGGAGACAAATATACACTGCAGGCCTTTAGAGTACTGTAATACAAAATGACTTGTAAATAAACACTGATGATTTTCCAATATGTGTTATGTTGGCAGTAAATGTCTGTGTCCCTCCACTCAGTCTTTGACAGTCTGCCAGCGTTCCCTGACCACGATGCAAATCCAGATCCAGGGCCTGCTGCAGTTCTCCGTGCCCATTTTTCCCACTGCTGAAGTAAGATGCTGAATGACAAACTATTAAACCAAACAGTGATGTGAGGTGTGTGCGTGTTTGAGAGGGAGAGAGATTGTTTGTGTGTGTATGGTTCACTGTCTTCGTCTTTGTTCCTTGTTGTTCAGAGAGACCTTTTGGGGATCCAGAGACTGTTGAACTCCACTGAGTTCAGCGTACACCAGCTGACAGCCTTGCTTGACTGCCGTGGGCTACATAAGGTGAGGTCAGAGTCCAAGAAGGATGTGTTTTAACAGCACTGCGCTGTAGCATAGCTTAGACCCACAGAGAGAACCTCCTTGAATTATTTATGACTTATCGATATGCTATTCTCATAGGCTAGTTTGTATACATCGACAGGTTTGTCAGCATGCCCTGGATTATAAGCTTTTATTCCGGCCCCGGTAATATTTATTTTTTATTTCAAGTTTTTCCTACTCTGGTTTGAAAATCTGGCCCACAACTATTTCCAAAATAGTTAGGAGTAATTTTTTTATCTTTTTTATTTTTCGCTCTTTGAAATGTGTTTTTTAAAAGCTATTCGGATTATTTCTAAGAAAATATGAAATTTTATAACTATATGTCAGGCTAGCTCGTTAGCTATTTCTAAAGTTGTCTTATCTTGTAGGAAAACCGTAAGGTGTTACTGCTCATTAATCCTCAAAGTTGGCTCCTACATGTTCGTCTCAAACCTTCTTCTCATTAAGCTATTTGCTCTGACCTTCATCTGTTTAAGCCTTAACCTTCGCTAGCTTTCTGAAGCTAAATTTACTGCTTTTGTGTGTTTTTTTTTCATATTTTTAACCAATTTTTCATATTTTACCAATATAATGAGACAATTTGATATATACATATATATTCCAACCTTGCTTCTCACTGTATGTTTAATGTGTTAAAATGAATATAAATATGAATTAAAAATGTACTTTAGTAATTATATCGTGTTATTGTTATTTAAATTGCACTGTATACAATGTGAAATAATGATGAACATGTAGGTCAACATATAAACAGTAAGGTTTTTTTTCCACCTACTTATCAGTTAAGGTTCCTTTTTTAGCTCAATGTGTGTGCATCCATATGTCTGTCCTGTCTCTCTCTCCAGGACTATGTGGACGCCCTGATGGGTTTGTGCTACGACGGGGTGGAGGGACTCCTCTACCTCTCTCTGTTCTCTCTCCTGGCTGCCTGTGCACTCTCGGCTATGCTTTGTGCGACGTTTCGACTGTGGACTCGAGTAGGCAGCAGGTCAGCAACCGGAAACTGTATTATGCTGTCACAATGTGCCCCCACCGTGCTCCTGCATGGTTTTTAACCCATGCCCTCTCTCTGCTGCCCCTCTGTGATATGTGCTCCCACCACCATCTGCTCACAGGGAGAAGGAGTACGACGACATAGATGAGGAGGACCCCTTCAACCCACAGGCCCGCAGGACGTCGTACAACCCCAGAAGGTCCAACATCCACAGTTTCTGTAGTTTTACCAGCAGCCTCAGCAGCCAGTCCAACCTTCAACCACCTGCACAGGCTGCTACTAACACACTGCCAGCCCCTGAATACATGTAAGCTGTAGCTGTGGTGATGACGTGTTGGCAGCTGGGTGTTTAATATCTTACCACCATTCTCTCCCTCTCTGCACAGGAACCAGTCCATGCTGTTTGGAGGGAACCCACGATATGAGAACGTCCCACTGATAGGGAGAGGATCCCCGCCCCCTTCGGTCAGTGACTCAGTGGGGCTAATCATGCTCCTAATGTGACGTCGCTGCCTGAATGACTATAACAGTTCTGCAAACAATACTGCTGCATTACTAACTCAGCGGCTTTACAGAAGCACCATGACCGGAATGGCAATGTGGTGCCCGGTTTTGAAATGTCTTTGTTTGTTTGTTTGTAGCGTGAGTCTGCCCTCTGCTGGCTACGTTTGGAAACGTATCTATAAAAAAGGACATTTTTCTTTCATTAATGTTGAAACCAGGATTCCAAGCCGGTGCAGATAAAATATAATGCCTTCTCACAGAAAAAATTAGTGAATTGTTATATAATATTTAAATACACTATTAAACTGTAAACTATACAGATAAATATGTATTTTTAATACACAACAGTAATACAGCTCCTGTATTACATACATACATACATTTTTTTTTTTTTTGCATTATTTCTGGTGCTGATTTCATGCTGTGCAACATGAGGTGATGAAAAAGGCAGATGCATTCATGTAACCATTCTTTTATGGTCTTATTAAAGTCCCAGCTTTGCTCTCTGCTCAATCTCTCATCAGCAAAATCTGTACGAGCTCATAATCAGTAATCCCGTGGTGAGTAAGCAGAGCCGATGATTCAGTGAATAACAGATAACACTTTCTAAATCCACCTTTAGAGTCCCATTCAATGAAAACTTTCTTTTCCATTCGATTTTCTGCCTGCATGGCTGACTCAGTGAATGATTGCAAACCTGAACGGCTCACCTCAGACTTGAATCAGCCTTTCAGTGGAAGGGAGACAGCAGTAGAATGTGGACCATTGTTTAAAATTTCACATCAGCTCTGTGAGACAGTGTTCTTTTCTAAGAGAGGCTTGGTGAATATTTACTGCGAATGTGCAACACTGCAGCAATACTGTTTTAATTTACACAAGGAATATGCAGGCATATTATATAACTTATAACCTTTATTCATTTGACACAAACTGTGTTTTTTGTGTTTAACCTCCATCTATGTCTTTTTTTGTACTAATGTAAATCCGTGTCCTGCTTTCTAACCAGGCTTTATTTGCAAAGTGTTTACGTTATAATCACTTCCTTTCAGGGGGGTGCACTGTTTCCACTGTGTGATTAACAACCTTCACCTTTGTTTCACAGTGAATATAAAGGCCACAACCGATCGTTATAGGAGGATGTCATTATCTATTTATTTCTAAGCCTAAAGAAGGTGATGTGAGGTGACCTTAATTTTCACATCAGGACATTTGAGTGAAATATCCTGCATATTCACTTGAATTAATATAGGAATATATTTGTAATATAATAAAATATAATATATTTATATAATATCAATATTCAGGCCAAAACAATAAAGGTGGTTTCTGGACTCGAAATTACTTGATGGACTGGATTTGGGCTTCAGTCTGACACACTTGCTTACTTCCAAATATACAGTAGTATACGTTATATGACATAATACTATAAAATGCATATCTGCTAAACTGTATTTTTTCTATTATTTTTTTCTATTATTTCCCAAACAGTATACACCCAGTATGAGGACTACGTATCTATCCATGACTGAGTCCCAGATCAGGCACTTTGGGACTGACTTCCAAGTGTAGTCCGCAGCCCACTGCATCATTGGTGTTCCTGAAAAACACTGGACGAAACCACAAGAAAACTGAAGTTTTCTTCATGTTGCTGTGCAAGTCAAAGTCATCAACACAGGATGGACACACGAGGAGATAACCAGTGTTCTGAACTGAAAAGCTGTATAAAGGTGTAGCTCGATACTAGAATTGTTGATTTTGTTGTTTTGTTGTTGTTATGATGTGCAGAATTCTCACCAAAATAAAAGCATTTTTAAGCCAAAAAGCTGTGAAAGACCAAAACAAATTTAAACTGAAAACCAGATCGTTTATCTTTTCAGCTGTACAATTCTAGTGCCTGCATGAATGTGATCCAAACACTGAGTATTTTTAACTGAGACACATGACTGGAATATGACAAACAGTCATACCGGCCAGTGTGGATATTCATGTTTTGGAAATCCCCTTCTGTTTGGGGTTAATGTGTTCCAGTTTATTTAAGGCCATTGTGTAAGATCTTACATTCAGTCCAAATACTATAACCAAGTTGTTCTGTTCATGTTCTATCTGTTTCTTTTTTCTTTTTTCTCCCAGTTATATAACCTCCACAGTTGTGATTCATTGGTGCTTAATACAATGATGGTTTGTAATATTTGACCTGCCTGTTTAAGCTGCATTTAAAGACTGTGCTCCATCTGCACGTTGAAGAGAAATAATAGAATGTAATATAATCTCAGCTTTTATGGCCAAACTATGAGAAATGATCAGTGAAAAGAAAGATAAAACAATGTGGGTGTAAATATGTGCTGTTTTAAGGCCACTTGTTGCAGTTAGCTTTAAATAAATTGCTGTTGACACTGCTGTTGGACAACACTGCTTTATGTTGTTGTTCAATGTCGGACAGTTCCTCATAAAATGCTAAATGGAAACCTTGTCTTTTTGCCATTTACTGCCAACAAAAGAGATAACACACACTTGTTTGATTTTACTTCTGGTTATAAAAACATTTCTTTATTATTGATTTCTTCATCACTGCAACATGGTGACATTATAGAAACACAACGTGAGACAATAACACCTGCAGAGGTCGAGAACGAGGTGTTCAGTGGGTGTAAAATGACTTTTTAAAGTGAATACAATGATTCAAACGACATTTTGAAATGATTTGGGAATGTGGGGAAAAGGTCACCAGTTGTTATAAACTGTGAACATTTCTTCATCTGCAGCTCATTTTTAAACCATCAGACCAGAACTTTGCTGTTGTAGGTTAGCAGTTCATTCCCTCCGGCTTAATTTAATGTCAACAAAGTGAGCAAAAGCTTTGTTCAATACCTTTTAACATCAAACTGTTTACTTTCTTGAACGTGCTTTATTTTCTTTGTGCATTCTGAAAAAAGGTAAAGTTTCAGATGATGTGTAGTAATTTTGTTAGCATTTTACTACATCATACGACCTTGAAAGGTAATGTTCAACATCTGTAAACATAATAATAATAATAATAATAATAATAACAATAATAATAATAATAATAATAATAACAATAATAATAATAATAATAATAATAATAATAGCAATAATAATAATAATAATAACAATAATAATAATAATAATAACAATAATAATAATAATAATAACAATAATAATAATAATAATAATAATAGCAATAATAATAATAATAATAACAATAATAATAATAATAATAACAACAACAACAACAACAATAACAACAACAATAATAATAAATTATTTAGTTCGATAAATAATCAGCGGAAATTAAAACTCCAAAAAGGCGAAACACGTGCTTACTGTCCTCTGTCACTCGCCGTAGTAAACACGGTCATTCATTGTTTACATCTATTCATTTACGCTTCTTCGGCTAACTACTGGCCGTTCGTGGATGCTGACTATCGTGGTTTTGTACTCAGTGAAAAAAGATTATTTTTATCTTTGCAAAGGAGGAAAAGGCGATGATGTGCCTAAATAATGGGAAACGTATTCGGGAGGAAGACTCAACCTTCTCGTGTAACGGAACAAGACAAAGCCATTTTGGTGAGCTGATAACGGCATTAGCAGCAGATTAACCCCAATTCATTCACCGTAGTAAGAGTGTGAGTGTTGAGCATGGAGAGTTCAATGAGCTGTACTGTATGACTGAAGCAGGGGACAGTTGTGATTGGGATGAGAGAAAAATACATAAAATAAAATGAAACTCATTCGTCCTAGACCTAGCGTAGACACATCAGCAGGTGCTACATACATAAATGTTCTAAAACATAAAATGGCATTTTCTTATACGTATATATATATATATATAAGATTATGAATTTAATAATTGCAAACATTAATTAACGGACGTAAATCTTTGATTGTTCTTACCTCATCAGAAAATACAAATACTAATCAATAATAAATCATGTTTAATCTCTTGTCGTTGACGATTTATCATTACTAACACTATTATTCTTACAATTATTTTAAGCTGATTCATGTTTATGATGAACAAAATAATAACATCAACTGCAATAATAATATAATACTCTAATAAAACAATTGTTTGTTTGTTTTTTCAATCCATATTACCAAGGTAAATTTGTTTTGTGTGTATATATATTGTTTATATATATGATTTTCTTTCAGCAACTAAAGCAGCAGAGAGATAAACTGAAGCAGCACCAAAAGAAAATCACCTCACAACTGGAGAAAGAAAGACTTTTGGCCAAGCAGTTGTTGAAAGATGGCAAGAAAGAGTGAGTATTGAACACAGACATGTTATCTATGTGTTGAAACCATTGGTAGACCGTTTGTAATGTATTTATTTTTAATTTAAAGGATCATACAATATACATAAATATCAAATTTCATCTTCTTTACTAGTTAATTTTAACACACGTGTCCTGAATATGTAGCACCTCATACCTGTGCAGTTGACTAATAGGGGGAAAAAGTAAATGTAGTTTCTTGGGAAGCATATATTTGCTAAAAATGATGTTGCTGTTAAACAGCATCATCTCTCGGTAACGTAAAGTTTGTATTCTCTTCTCTGTATCTTCACCGGATTCATTGATATTTTGTTGTAATCTTGCAGAAAAGCATTGCTGCTACTCAAGAAGAAGCGATACCAGGATCAGCTACTAGAGAAGACTGAAAATCAGATTTCAAACCTGGAGCGAATGGTGAGTTTGGAGAGATTATTCTACAGTAACAGACTGATGGTTTCTCTATAGTTTCACACTCAGTCTGTTGAATAACAAGCTCCGATGTAGACTTTAAGATGTTACCCAGACAATAATGTGATATTTCCGCTCTATGTTACTGTTTCGACTGGAAAGTAGGGCATTTAAATACATTGTTATTCACTCCATACCCTGATTTTAACATTGTTTTATATTTAGGCCATCACTTTAAAGATTTTACTGTTTAAACCTTCAGTATTGTGTTTTAACAGGTTCAAGAGATTGAATTTGTGCAAATTGAGATAAAAGTCATCGAAGGACTAAAGGTTGGAAATGACTGTCTGAAGAGTATGCACAAGGTAACCATGTTCCCATGTTTCTTCTCTTTTCATTAAACATGAGGGTTTTTCTCCTTATTTCTCCTTATGTTCTGGGATTGAAAAAAGATCAAAAAGGCAAGGATAATCACAAAATGAAGAAAATACTTTTAGAAAAGATCAAAAAGGCAATAATAGTAATCACAAAATGAAGAAAATACTTTTATCATTCATCATCTCAATTATTCAGTATTTTATTTATAGAATGGTGTAGCCATGTGATCCTCAGGAGAATGTTTTGATGAATAATGATTTTTATTGGGTGATGTGGTTCGACTGCTGCTCTTGATTTTTATACAGTAACAAACTGCGTTAAGATTCCCGTCCTTAGAATGTCTACGAAACATTTTCCATCAACATCACTTTTCTTTGGATTTAATATGCGTCTCGTCTTTTCCTGGTGGTGACAGCTGATGTCAGTGGAGGACGTGGAAAGAATCCTGGACGAGACACAGGAGGCCATTGAATATCAAAGGGTAAAAAATCACGAAGCTGTAGGACTTTTTACTTTCACTTTCTTATAGTCCAGAAATGACTTGAATGACCAGAATGAAAGTGAACTGCAGACTAATTTTGGTGAATTTACAGGTTTGTTGTCAGTTTTAAATACATCTCAAATGAAATGCACAGCAGGAGTCTCTGAAAAGACAAGGGCAGAATGGCATTGAAGAGTATAGATTGTGGTGGTGAAACATGTTTTTGGATTTTGCAGTATTAGACATGTCATACTTTATCCAGTGTGGTAGTACATACATACTGTGTATGAGCTAATTTTCCCACTCCTGCAGCAAATAGATGAAATGCTGGCTGGAGTCATGACGCAGGAGGACGAGGACGCTGTGTTAGCAGAACTGGACGCCATCACTCAGGTGAGTGTTAGAGACAGTACATTGTCATAGGTAGCTGTGGTGTGTTCAGGTACTTTTTCTGTTGCACATTTCTACTGCGTAGACAGACACATACTTTTAGTTGTTTAATTTGAGTTGTGAACAAACTCTGCAGATGCCCTCAGTGTGGCAACAGTTCTGTAATGTGCCACAGTGTCGTCTCAAACTGTGGCAGCTTGTGAATATGGTTCTGGATGAGTCATAATACAAATAATTAAACCCCCTGCAGGTTTTTATCATTATTATTCCAGATGACACACACAATCTCAAATTATGATTTGGGTTTTGACTCCCTGTTACAACAAAAGAACCACGGAGTGTTTCAAAATTATGGAAATTATTACTGATTAATGTTTTTAGCAGAATTAAAAAAGGGTACAAACCGGAAAAAGGTTCTTTATTGATATGTTTTGCATGTACTGGGTTAAAAAAACTCTCTCAAAAATTGGTTTAAATAGTTTTGGTTGTTTTTTTGAAAGTCAAAGCCAAGGACAAGAAATAATTTACAGTAAAGGCAAAAGACTGTAGAAAAAGTTTGCATTTCTTTGAAGGACAGCCTGTCTCAGCGTCTGGCAGCTTAATCAGTATAAAATCAAGTTTTTACCCTGTACAGTTCAAAGACTGCTGATCAGAGGTGGTCTTTGTGGAAGGTCAGCAGCTTCAAAAATCACTTTCCCAGATATGAAACAGAATGGAAACCTTCAGATGGGCTGAAGTTGAAAAATCGTCAATGTAGCAGAGAATTACAAGGAAGTAAAAGTATAGGAGCTTATTTACAGCTTTATGAAAACAAAGTTATTACAGGAGCAGTGAAGGTTCAACTGAACATCATGGGATGATGGTGTAAATCTAGACCTTTCATGTCTCAACTTCTCAACCGTTTACTGTGGCCTCGCTCAGGGAGAAGAGATCTCACTTCCAGAGGTTCCTGTGGAGCCAGTACCAGAAGTCCCAGAAGCAGCTGCAGCAGGTAAATCTGAAAAGAAGCCAGGAAGAGAGTTGCTGGAAGCCTAACATCAACATGAAGAATGCACACAATTCTGAGTTTAAATTGTGTGACCTATGAAAATCTTTGCGATGCTATTTATTTAAAATGATCTTTTATATTTTTATTTTAATCCTGGCTTTATTTAACTGTTTCTGACTCAGCTGAGCCAGACAAGTCATTTTCTCACTGTTCTAGTTGAATCACGCCTGTATGATGAGGTTACTTTCTAAATCTGGTTTGTGTTAAATTTAGCATTTTGTCATATTAAAAAAAAACATTGTTGTCATTGTTTTTCTTCCCTGTTTTTAGTATCATTTGAGTCAGAATAAGGAAACTCTCAACATAAAGCAATAAAAACAGGAAGTAGAACTTGACATGTACAGTCTGGGACTTTTTCTAGATACTTATGGCGAATCATTAGTTAGAAGATGTTAGAAGTTGAATTTTTTTATTCAATTTGCATTTCAATTTAAACATTTTTTAATTATTCCATGGCTGGCTTTTAGCTATTGCTTGAAGCCAGTTAGCTTGTTTTAACTTGTAGCAATTCAAATTTATTGTTTACTGTGCGTATTCAGTGCTAGTGTTAGTATATTTTTAAATATATATATATATATATATATATATATTAAAGTTTGTCAAAATTGTTCATCAATTTGTCAAACTCGCTTACTTTTACATATTCATTGATCCAACCTGATCTAACACAACACAATATTTGTTTCCGGATTATATTATATTGTTACTTTTTTCACGCAATGTATTTAACAAACACATTTGTTTAATGTTTCAAAAAGTTTTATAATTTATTAAAATTAAATAACACTTAAATCTCAATTATTTCAGAACAAACAGATAGCCCCGAACCAACCTAGTCGTTTCTTTAATTGAATCTGCACCTACAAAAATTGACATCCGTCTTATGTCCCTGCAGTTCTTTTCGATAACCAAAGGGTGGCACTCTCTTCCAAACTTTGTTCGCCTCACCGCGACAGAACAGGTGTCTCTATTCACGCTCGTGAAGTGCGTGTTATTGATGGTAGAAGCTCATGTTGCCGGTTTTGTGGGTGATGTTTACACAAAGAAGCCAGTGGAGTATTTACAATCCCACACTAAGTGGGCACTTACACTCTAATTGGCATGTTCAATAAAAACATTAATTGTAGCCTGGGAGAAAAAGCAACATCCCATATGGTGTGGCTGTACACAGTACACGTGGCTGATAGCTGTACACCATGCTGTGTTCAGAATACACCTTTAGATAACAGTAAGACTACAATGTATTCACGAGTTACTCCAAAATCAAGGATCACAGTATTTACATCACTGGCAAATTCTCAACGAAAAGTTGTTATATGGAGAAACAAATAATGGGAAACACAATTATTTCTGTAAGTTTGCACACATACGTACATATAGTGCGTTATATATACATATATTTTATATGTTTTCCATCCAAGAATATGCATGTTTTGGAATATTGCTTGTTTAGATATATTTTGGGAAAAGAAATCTTCATATTATTTTAGACAAGGAGACATAAGCGAAATTTCAAAAATAAAAATACATGTTTTGTGGGACTTAAAATGGCAACTGGGCTCATTCTAAGTTATGTTCTTGTAGAATTAAGCAGTATTTTAACTACTTGGTTGACTTTCGACATATCTCTTGTATAATTGTATTTTTCTTCATTGGCCAAAAAAGGCTATTGTGCTTTTAAATGCTATACCCTTAGGCCAAAAAAGTGTATTGTTTGGTAATTTGTATCGATACTTTAAAAACAAACAGCAGTAACATCTCTGGGTGTTTTCTTCAACAATTGCATGACTTAGCCACTTAATTGTAGCATAATTGTAGCCACAGTAATGATGCATTTTAGCATTTTTATGACGAAAATATTGTTTGCTTGCATTGGGGTTAGGTTTGTAATGTTCAAAGGAACATTAGCCATGGTTTCTAACTTAGTTTTTTTTTTTTTTTTTACAAAAAACTTCCTTTGGTTTTTCCCATGAGATGAAAAACCAAACTGCAAATTAAAATAACGTTTTACCCTCTTTTTTATGTGTTAATAAAACGTAAACGTCGTGATATTATGCAGAGAATGTAAAGTAATGCCATTCCAGGCATTACTTTACTTTCCAAAATGTTTCAAAACATTTTCGTGCAACATGCAAAACGAAACAAACAAAGCAGATGGGTAGTTTTACATAACCGGATCTGGTTGTTAGAAAAATGGAATACACCAACCGTTTTACAGTTGTTGCATTTAGCAATTTATACACTGTCTTTTGTATTAGTTATTATACCTTAGTAAACAGCAACATACAGTTAAAATATCTGAGTTCAGTAATTGTTTCTCTCAATCTTGTAAACTTCAGCGTAGCTTGTCTAATATTTCCCAGCTCACAGCGCGTCCATGAAGGCACCAGCGCTCTGTCAGCTGTGCTGAGGGAAAGGAAGGTGTGTTTGCTTCACGGTTTAGTTGAAGCACGGTTTTCAGGAGCGCAGCATCGTGTCGCGCTGTCAGGGGGGCATCGCCTCACCCGTACTTTCGTCCGTCTCGGTTTGCGTCTTCACCAGTCCCTTTCCTTTACACGGATACAAGGTCTGAAGGGAAACAAAACAAGGTTTATGGTCTTGGCTGAAGATCTCACGATGTCTCGCACCGACGAGGTTCACCGCTTGACCGAAAATGTCTACAAGGTAAGATTAAACTCAGGAATAAAGTTTTACTAATGCATGCAAGGATGGGGATCCAGATATATATAAAAACGCAGAATGGAGTCAGTCTTTTTAAAAGCATTAAACAAAACCATTGCTTCTTCCTTTTTTTCCTTCATAACCTAAATGCAGAGGGAGTTGGTTGAGCTCCTTAATCAGTGGGTGATTGACTCAGATCTGTGTCTTCCAACCCCCAATGAACAGAAACGCTTCACACAACCCAGTCAGTCTATCTATATTGTATTCCTATAATCCACTCGAGTGCACTGATAGTGCTGTGGGCCTTTCCTTACATAGTCTGAAATCGGAACACATTGCATTCCAGAAGTCAGTGTTTGACTGGCAGCGAAGGTTGGGCTTATCTGTTTCAACGAGTAAACATTTGCCCCTTAGGCATTTCAACATCCAAACCTGTTCTACCTTTGCTGCTGAATAAATATACAGAGAAGGCGCACATTTTACCCGCAATGTTTCAGTCTGGAAAAAAAAAATGACAAAGACCTTTGCTTGGATCTCTATTCCCCCTTGGTTTATTTTAATTAGAATGCTTGTTTGTTTGCTTGTTTATCTGGAAAGACTGGGTGAGAAAAATTAGGGCAAATGGCCTTATAATGACTGAAGTATTATGTTGCTCATTACTTGTAAAGATCAACCAAAACATTAAAAATGCAAAAAAATAAAAAAGTCACGTCAAAGAAGCAGCTTTGTTTGAAAGTACAATTAAATTGATAGTTAATTAGTTTTTTTTTTTACCAGGCTACCAAAAATGCCCCTTTTGATACTGCAGTTCCACTATTGACTTTTGTAACGCCTCAGAAATCCATCCTCTTGCAGTGAAGACGTCATTCAGTAATTTTTTTTTTTTTTTTACAATTAGTCATTCAGTCGTTGACCAAATAGGCTAGAACCCGCCCCATTTTTCTGTATCCTGGGTTGGGTACCTTCATGTCCTCCTGTACTGTTCCTAATTCCAGGTACTATTTTAGCAATGCAGAGGCCTAGCCTGAGTGTTGTAACTAGTTTCTGAGTTTGTCCCCTGTGGTGGAAAAGCACATTGTTCCTGGTAGGAACAGTATAAACTGTAGTTTTCAGCTTGCAGTTCCTGGCACCAAACCTAGTACTAATTACAAAGGTGAAAGTCCACCTAGATTCTATTGGTAGATTCTGTTGCTACTGTAAAGTGGTTGACAAATATATGTTGCTACACATACTGTAGCTAGTCTGTAGTGCTATTTGTATTTCCTGGTACTAATTTTGAAAATCCAACTTCCTGGAAGAGTACCACCACCAACACAGTACCTTGTGTTTTTGCAGCAGAATGCATAGTTCAATGTATTGCTCCTGGTTTCTGTGGTGACAATCTGCACAATACCTGTACCAGTTCTATGTTTGTAGTGTTAGGTTCTGCAGTGAAAATGTCCATATTTGGTCTTAGTGGCCTCCAGTCCCTGGTACTTATGCTGTGGTGGAAAACAGTTCCAGAAACACTTAATTCCTGCCGCTGCAGTTGCTGCAGTAAAACAAACACACATTTAACATTAATCTCCATTTTCTCTTATCACTGTCTGCTCCCTGTAGCCTCCTTCAACACAATTCTCTACATTATTGACTCGTGTTATTACTTTTAAAGTTACTTCTCTGTAACTGTTTTGTGCTTTGAGCCTTTGAGCCGGCTCTGAGTGAGAGGCCAAGAATGGACAGGGGGCAGATGCTTATTTTTATTCTC